TTAACCAACTGGATAACTGAGCCGGCATCCAATCTCCACAAACCCCTTTTGATAATAATCATCTGTTCACTAGTGACTGACTTCAAGAGATACTCCTGGAGTTCTAGTGAGAAGCCGTTACCAGTGGAGTTAAACCAGGTCTAATGTGAGATATCAACTCACTGAAGGGAATGGTGTACGGTGGCGCAACTTCGTGGATTGGTTGAAGTTAGACGTTAACATCGTCGGGTGCCGGCTCAGTGATCTAGTTGGTTAAGCGCCTAGCGCGAGACTGATGGATCCTGGGTTCTAGTCTCACGCGGTGCCGGATCATGGATGCGCACTACTGAGGAGCATCATACTGGGACGAAACGGTAGTCCAGTGCTTCCAGGTTTTCCGTGGTTGTGGTCTAGCTTCAATTGACTCGTGATTTCAATCTGTGAGATAATTCATCTGACTAACAATCGTATAGTAAACCGGTTTAATTTTACCATTTATATGAATCATTTAAAAAGAAAAACTAGGTCAACATCTGATAATTGACATATACAACTTTAGTAAATTGACAATGTTACTTAGCAATTATTCAATACCTAATAGACTGTTGTTTTTTTTCTTTCAAACTGTCCTTGGTTTATAATGAAAAAACAACAATTAAACTACATGAAATACTTTATCAAATCATATAACAAATAATGTATTTCAGAAAGAGGGGGTTTTGTGGATATTACAATACTTTTTATTAATTAAGATCATGAATCAATGAAAGCTAAACCACCACTATGAAAAATCTGGAAGAACTGTACGATTGTTTCGTCCTATTGTGAGACTCCTCAGCAATATGCATCCACGATACCTCCCTGTCGCGGGATTCGAACCTAGGACCTATCAGTCCTATTCATCATTCAATTCATAATACCTTCCTGTAATTCATTCACATTACAATTTGACAAACTAACAAACAAACAAATTTTGACTAACATGTTCTTTCATCTGTATATCCGACAGTAAACCACTAATGCTGGTGATGGGTATACAGGTTGATATGGCAAGTCTATCATTGATGGACGAACCAATCAGATAAAAGATAACAGGTCTCAAATTTTGATGCGAAATTTATCCATTTATTTAGCAAAATAATATTTTGGCATTATAGTTGATATCAGTTAATGATAAAAATCATAAATCTAATTCTTAACCTTAATCTAGCTCTTTACCATAGTTTATAACCCTCATTTAGTCCTAGACAGTAGATGAACATTCTCAAGATCACTTTAGTATCGCTCACAGGTCATCCATAAGCTATACTCTCATTGTTGATATTGAAGTAACCGTCGTTTTTAGGAAAAAAAAAGAGAAAATCTATTAATCAAGCTTAAAAGTTGATTGACACATCATTAACTATCAGTTAACTACATTTTATTGTTTTATTTTAACACATATATATTGGTACAAGGAGGCACCAAATAGATATGCCCCACACAGATCTCATTTGATATGTGTCAGGGCTATGATACTGCTCAGGTGCCCGAACCGAAGCAGGTGGTTTCCTTAATAAGCCATACCCGAAGCCTTCGACCTGAAAGTCAGATCCACAAGGCAGTGGAGCAACGTAAGGAGATGCAGTTCCATGGTAGCCAGTGACCAATTATTGGTTCATATCCCATTTGTTTCCTTCAGGATAGTGGAGTTCACGTGCACTGTTGGTTTGGAATCAGGGTTTTCCAACTCCCCTAGATGTAATCTCCATGCCCACCAACCCGGTTAAAGCGCCAGACATTTGCTTTTCATTCTCTCAATTTCGTGAACAGCTCCACCACCACGAGAAGGCAATGAATAGGACTTCCGTGACAGAGACTATATACGCGTAGCCATGTGAGAGCATTTTGAGAGGGAGAGCGGACTCTCCCCACTCTCAGCCGTACCAGAGCATTTTGGAGCCGTTAACTACAACATATAACCAAGTATATCACTAACTATATTTTGTTATTTACAATAATCTAAATAACCATAAAGCTTTAATTCACTTGGTGGAATATTATATCTTTCTATAATGTATATATGGCACCATTTTTAAGCACAAATAATAATAATCTATACACATAAATACATACTATATATACTACTAATAAGAAAGTAAATAATGTGAAAACTACAATTGATGAATTACACACTTACTACTATTATAATAAAACGTTAGTTATAAAAAAACAGTTCTTTTTGTTGTTTTTTTCTTTATTTTCTTTTTTCTCTTTTTCTCGCTTTTTTTTCTTTATTCACCTTATATTAATTTGATACATAGAACTTAAAGCTACTACTTAAATCAATACAGGAAAAAAATAACGGATTCTTTCTTTCTTTTCTTTTTCTCTTTTCTTTTCTTTTCTTTTTTCTACTATTATTTATTGTAATTTCATTATGTAATAAGAGATTGGTGGTTGAAATGTATAATTTATATTAGTTTGGCTGTAACTATTGTCTCCTATTATGATATGGAGCCAAAAATGTATATTCACTGACAGATATTATATACTTACAAGTGATTTTGAACCAAAAAATGAAGGAACTTTAGTTTAGATAGTATTACATAATAATAAATTACAATAATAGTGAGATGTAATTCAGTCAGTCAGTCAGTAACAACGTAGAACTTCGTACGTACGTACATCAGTTCAAGTTGCCACACCACATTAGCACAGAGATGCACTGGTCGATTCAAATCCCGTAGTGGTAGAGGTAGCAAGAGTATAAGGAGTAATCGGGAAGATTAGGGTTTGGAGATGTTAGTTAAAGAGTATAATCCAGAGGAAAAACGGGACATGAAAAATTCAGAAGATTAGAATTTGGGAGAACACAAAGAATGGATGCACCTGCGCCATTGCAAACGATTTTGAGCCATGACATTCAGGGTCTCTAATCATCGGTTGCTATCATCTCGTGGTCCCCAATCAGGTAATTAGACTTAGTTATGTAATCAATTCAATAAATTGCTATCTCTTTTGTTTTAAATAGTATAAAAATGGATTAGTTGAAGTTAGATACCAATTCAGTGGTCTACAGGTTAAGCGTTTGTGAGCGAGACTGATAAGTTCCAGGTTTGAATCTCGCGAGGTGGGATTGTGAATGTGCACTACTGTGGAGTTCCATACTAGGATGAAACGTCCATCCAGTACTTTGAGGTTTTCTATGGTGGTTGTCTAACTTTAAATGATTCTGGAATTCAGCTATTAAAATTACTATAATATCCACAAAACCTCTTCTGATATATATATGTCGTAAATGAAGTCCTTGATTGAGAAACACAGGGTGATTTAGAATTAGCGGTATTAACGTAAGTGTTGTCATTCTTCAGGGTTTTGAACGTGAGCTATGAATGTTTAACTATAGTTTTCCTAGACTTACTATATTTCTTAAAAAAGGCTGCTGAAGAAGCATATATATTCTGATCAGAGAGGTTTTTTTTGGATATTATAGTAATTTAATAGTTGAAGCTAGACCACCATAAAAAACCTGGAACCACTGGACGGTCGTTTCGTCCTAGTATGGGACTTCACAGTTGTGCGCATCCACGATCACGTCTCGCGAGATATATATTTTGTACATAAAGTCACTGATTGTTAATTTGAGCCATATAAATAAATTTGAACGCCTCGGGTACGATCTCTGACTAGAAAATTTAGTTAGAATGTGTGCGAATGTTTTTATTCACAGTGTGCGAATATGAAATGTGGCATGTTGAGTTGATTCATAAACTTTATTTTCAAGATAACTTACTAAAATACTTTGTATCAATTCACAATAGTTCCTCACTACTATTGTAGTGAACGAGAACACGAGTGGGAACAATCGAATGTATTTGAATACAAAATTACAAAATGACTTAGTAAAATCTGCATACAACCGCTGCCAGGGAAGTCCTACTCATTGCCTTCTCGTGGCGGAAGTGTTGTTTACGAAATTGAGGAGACAAAATGCGAATGTTCAGCATCTAGCCGGGTTGGTGGACACGAAAAGTCCACCTAAGGCAATTGAAAAACCCTGATTACAAACTAAGGGTACACATGGGCTTCAGTATCCTGAAAGAACAAATCGCGTATGAACCAATCGTTGGTCACCGGCTACCATGGGACTACATTTTCTGATGTTGCTTCACTGCCTTGTGGATTGTACTTCTATGTCGAAGGCTAAGAGTATGGCCCTCTATGGAAACCACCTGCTTCGGTTTGGGCATCCGGATTTATGTGATTTATGTGGCGCATATTTATTTGGTGCCTCCTTGTACCAATGTTTATGTGTTTCAATGAATAAACAAATAGTAAAATCTGAGAAATATTCAGTAAATACTTCATTTGCAAAGTGTCAATCAAGCGGCTCAGAATTCATTGTTCTTTTGTTTTCACATCAATCACTCTCTGTTCTCTTTCTTTTTTCTTCGATCTTCTTAACCTTCTTCCACCAAACATTTTACTTTTGATTGATGTTACATACTACTCATATCTGTCAACATCAACAGCATACACCACATCATCTACTACAAATCAGTGAAACTAATACTGTCATCCAGATCTATCATTTATTTTTACAAACCTAATACTAAACTCATCTGTAAAAAACAAACTCAGGTAAAAAAAAATGACGAAACTCAATTATCTAAATAAAAAGTAAACCTTTTACATGATTTTTAATGAACATACATAAAACTGTATCGAGACAATCCGCACAGGATGTATATAAGCCAATAAGAGACTAATCGTTCCTAAACAACAATTGGAAGATATAAGCAAACAACACCTAGTGAATATAAACTTCACCCCATTGTACAATCAGGTGGCTATCAGGACTTAGTAGCTAAGTTGAGAACACAATGGCGTTTGAAGCGAACAGTACTGAGTTCGAGTCCCAGAGTGAACATCAACTCAGATGCAGATATAACCAGTTGATGATTCACAAATAGGACGAAACGCTCGTTCTGGATTCCACTGCTAACCACTATCCATCTTTGATTAAAAAGTTTATGACTTAAGACTATAATGAGACAATCTATACAGTATGCACATATGCCAATGAGAGACTGATCAATTGAAGTCCAAAATAACAATGGAAGGATACAAGTAATACAACAACATCAAGTGAATTTAAAACTGTAACATTTTGTGGTATCACTTGTCATAAACTATAACACTCTATATCATTAAACATGAACCAGAATCTTATAGTTACGTAAAAGTAATAAAATAGAATTTATTCGGAAAACTTAGAAACAATTTGTTGGTAAATTTAAATGAATAGCGATTGGAAACAACTGGGAAAGAATTGTCCAAGATAGAGTTGGATGGAGAATGGTGATAAGTGGCCTATGTTCCTTCATCAGATGTAGCAGGCGTAAGGAATTAAGTAATCATTGTGAGCGTTAACCTATGTAATGATATATATTTTTTGCAATGACATTCAGTGAAGTAAACAAACTCAAATTCATTAGAAGAGTATACAGTTGAAGATGAATAAATGAGTGTATGAAACCAATCAGAAAAATGAATCAAGTTTTCTATTGAACCAAGAATGTGATGAATTTTTTTAAAAAGAAAATAATTGAATCTCACGGGGTCAGATCGTGGATGTGTACTGCTAAGGAGTCCCGTAGTACGACGAAACGCCAATCCAGTGCTTACAGGTTTTCCATGGTGGTTTAGCTCTAATTGACTCATGATATCAACTATAAAATGACTATAATCTCCACAAAACCCCCATCTGATAGCAACACAGATATGTACAACATTCATTTATTGGCAACTAGATCGTAGCTAAGATATTTTGGTTTACATCTACATACCACACGCAATTAACGTTTTTTTAAAGTTTACAAAGCATACCCTACTGATGTCTGATAATACAATGATAAAACTCAGGTCGGTATATCAAATAGATTGGTTCTAGATATTTACCGATTCAGAATGAGAATGATGAATGACAAGAAATGTAAATTGTATTGAGTAAAGAACCAATATCAATAATAGAGTGCTGGATACAAAATTTCCATGTCAATGAATAGCTCTTAAGTGATGGCGACTCAACATTTCAACATGAAATCGAACCTAATTTGTGATATATTGTAACTGCATTTTGCATTATCAGTTTACATTATGGTACAATCAAAAGGAAATCTTGTATAAACAAAGTGTTTAACAACAACTAATCACAAAAGATCTTTCAAATAGATATTACAGATGAACTCATCTTGGAGCCACTCTGGGGTTACTATCGGTTTCAAGTCCGGATAAAGGAGGAGGGTTGGGTATGGGGTTAGCGACACCATCCTGTAGAAAATTAACTTGCTAAAACAAAACACTAACCAGAGTAACATGTATATATCAAATCTTTTTAACATACCAACATATGTATTCGGTGGTTGATTTTCTGCTATACGGAAATGATAACAATTATCTCGATCTAAACCGACAAACATTGGTGTATTATCATTAACATCAACAATAGTCACTTCAATTGTAGTGGTTGCTGTTAACGCAATCGGTTGACCATTATCATTGGCATAGACTTGAAATCGATAACTTAAAAAAAGAAATAAATGAAAGAAGATATCAGTGAAAATCGTTTCATAATTCGATTATGACAATATGAATTTCATGAAAAGAATTAGTTCCTTCAAGATTACGGATATTACCTTGCTGATAACGAGAAGCGAATGTTCGGCACTTTAATCGTGTTTGTGGATCTGGAGGTTCCTCAAAGGGGAGTTAGAAAACCCTAATTCCAAACCAACGGTGCAAATGAGCTTCAGGATCCTAAGGGAGCAAATGGCAAATGAATCAATTATTGGTTTTCCACAACATTTCGCGATTGTCCTTCATGGTCTTCATTGATTAATTGCCTCACATCAAACACAGTTGGACTCCACTGGTCATGGTTTCTTACTAGAACTCCAGGAAATCCATCTTCAAGCTAGTTATTAATGAGCATATGATAATTATCAGTACAGAGTTGTGGTGATTGTTGAGTATTTTTAAATTGAGATCATGAACCGATCGATGTTAGACCATCATTGAAAACCGAGAAGCACTAAACATGAACATCGTTGGATGCCAGCTCAGTGATCTAGAGTTTAGACGTTCACGCGTGAGACCAAAAGTCCTGGTTTCAAATCCCGTGCGCAGGACCGTGGATACACACGGTTGAGGAGTCTCATACTGAGACGAATCGGCCATCCAATACTTCCAGGTTATCAATGTCAGTCTAAGATCGAGTAGTGGTCTTTAGTGTTAGTAATTAAAAGTTCGTTACCAATTAGATTATAAATTATTAGTGATAAAAACTACAAAGTACCTAACGTCCATCTTGTGGCTCATCAATTATATATAAACATATACATATTGAAAGTATTCAGTATAATATAGAATTCTTAGCACAAAGTATTTCAACAAGTTTCCATTTCTAAATTTCTTGATCAATCCTAACGATAAGATATCGAATGATCGTCAGTTAGATGTTATTCATTCAGGAATCGACATCTAAATAATATTGATTCTCTTCAATGCATGTTGGCAGCGACCACGATGTCGCTGATTGTGCTCTTTCCTAACTTGTACAGAGAAAGATTAAAAACTTTGCACAAACACACCTGAATAGTTTGTGCAATTCATGATCAGTTGAAATAAACAAAAGGCATAACTTGTTGAAATATCTAAATGTCAGGAACAGGTATCCCAGATATTCAAGCAGACTACCTTTATTTTAATTGAGATCCATAATAAGCTTTGATTTATATTGTTAACTATCATTAAATATATTTTTTAATGGATTGGAGGGAGGCAAAACCCGTGTATTGCCTTTTGGATAGTGGGACGGATGACCCATGAACTAATGTGAGCGGTAACCTGGGTGGTAGAGATCGAGCTATTCATCCGCTCGATCGATACACTCAAACCGATTGCGAAATCCGCAAAGAATCACAGTGCAATTACTCTTGGATTGAAAAACGACAAAAAATTCACAAAAGTGTGCTCCTTATGAGGCAAACTCAAACCAGCTGCAAAACCAGCTGTTCTAGTCCCTGTAGTTGTGCCGTGCTTCGATGTGGCCCGTTTCTCTCCAGAAGGGCCTACTAGGTTTCACCAACTTGTTTGACTGGAAGGGCCAACTGATGGATTGGAAATTGATAGTGAATAGTATTGTTTATGTAGTTGATTGAGTAATAATGATTCACAAATATGAATATTTGATATGAAGTTACACAATAAATGCATTTCAAAAGACAGAATATCTTTTTAGTGGATAGGAGTTGATTTATGCATTTTGAAAGATGTTGGCTTAAGTTGTACATACGGTTTCCACTGTACAATATATGTCTTGTATTCACTACTTTCGGAACAGAGGGGGAAAGAACACTATGAAGAACTCTTTAATAGACCACTCCAACTGAACCCTCTGCACATCGAAGCACCACACACAGACTGTCCTATAGATGTCATTCCACTAACGACCAAAGAACTCAGAATGTCCATCAGACAAATCAAGAGTGGGAAATCAACAGAACCTCACAATATACCAGTTGAAGCTCTGAAGTCAAACATATAAGTAACTGTAAGCATGCTTTACATTTTATTCAGGAATATTTGGGAGGAAGAACAATTACCAACGAACTGGAAAGAAGGATAACCCATCAAGATACTAAAGAAAGCAGATCTGAGCAAATGTGAAAACTACGGAGGCATCACTTTACTGACAGTACCAGGAAAGATTTTCAACAGTATTGTTGATCAATAGACATCCAGCTTCAAGAACAAATTAAAAACTTGTCTGTTGTAGAAAGTTTGTTGATTTATCGATTCAAGTGTGAATTCTTTAGTTAAACGTAGCGTAATGCAATCACTTATCGTTAGATATCTATGGGTATGTAATATAAATGAGAATCAATTGTATCATTTCCCTGATACTCTGTATCTAAGTAATAGATACATTCAATTTAGTCAGTATAATGATTGATACAACTCATTGCAATAATTACTGTGCATGTTTTTATCAGAATAAGTAAATTCGAATGAGGAGACTATAATTTATGGATAAACCAATGAGATTCAAGAAAATAGGTCTTGGATTATGGCGCGTAGTTCACTCATCCATTTAGCTAAATAGGTCTTGGGCATTTTAGTCGATGTCTATTCGTGACGAAAGCCATAAATCTAATTCTTAACCATCAACTGTAAATCATAATTCTAATTCCTCACACTGATTTATAACTCTCATTTGATTCTAATTAGTAGGTGGATGAATAGCAAGATTCTCTGATACAACACAGAATGCACCAATCGAATCACATTTGATGGAGAAACATTGAAAGATGTAAAAGACATTTACATATCTGGACAGCATCATTGACGAACACGATGGATCTGATGCAGATGTAGAGGAGTGGATCAGTAAATCAGTAGCAGCATATTTACAATTGAAGACCATCTAGGAATCAAAACAACTATTTGTCAGTCAACATCAAAGTCAGGATTTTCAATATGAATGTCAAGACAGTTCTATTGCATGAGGCGGAAACTTGTTGTTTACACAAAATACCTCGGATCCGTTGGACAGACACTATCAGCAACAACCTACTATGGGAATGAACAAATCAGATTGCAGAGGAGGAAGAAATCAGGAAGAAGTGTTGGAAGTGGATAAGACACATATTGTGGAAAGCACCCGACTGTTCCACAAGGCAAGCCCTGACACGGAATCCTCAAGGTCAAATGAAAGGTGAAAGAACAAAGAGCACATTACGCCGAGAAATGGAAGACAGAGTGTGTTTGAGAATACTGGTTGGCGGCCTATGCTCCATCGGGAGTAACGGTCGTAGGTAACTAATTAAGTAGATAGATATTCCCAAGGCCACTTCAGAGTCTCATAAAGATCGTTCATATATTATCATCTCACTCAAAAACCCTTCTTCAATAGCTTAAATAAATATAATTACTAGAAATGTAACATACTTTTGTTTTAATTCTCTATCGAATATTATTTTTGTATAAATAGTTCCATCTAATTGATTAATAGTAAAGTATTCTTCACCATCTTGACTAAGTTGATATTTGATTTCAGCATTCTTTTCACTGTCTGCATCAGTTGCAATTACTTTATTAATCAATGTATTGATTGGACTATTCTCTTGAACAAAAAACTATTAGAATATTAATAAGGTAAAACAAAAGTCTATATATAACCACATCATAATGAATATACATATATATAAGAAGGTAATTAGGTAACAGATGATTAGTTGCATAATAAATCTTGTCCTATCTAAACTGATGTATTCACTTGGTATCGCTTCATTTTGATCAATTTCAGTCCTAAATAACAATAGAAAGAAACATCTCTTATTGGAATATATTCATCCTGTGTGGGTTGCCTCAATATAATCTTAAGTCACAAGCATTTTAATCAAAGATGAATAGTGGTTAGCAGTGGAGTCCAGAACGAGCGTTTCGTCTTAATTGGGACTCGTCAGCTGGATATACCTGCCTCTGAGAGTTAATGTTCACTCTGGAGCTCGAACCCAGTAATGTTCGTTTGAAACGCCACTGCGTTATTCAATTAGCTACTGAGTTCTTATAGCCAATTGGCTAGAAGCAAAAAGCACTGGATTCAATTCTTGAAATGAACATCAACTCTGAAATGAAGATATATCCAGTTGATGAGTACCAAATAGGACGAAACGCACGTCAAACTGGATTCCACTGCTAACCACCATTCATCATTGCTTACAAAAATATTAAGTAATATTAAGTTATATACCCCTGACAACCTATGAACGTAATACTGTTGGTTAGAGATCAAAAAACCTAATCGCTTAAAAGGAAAATCTTGTATTATCATACAAAGTAAGAATCTGACAAGATTATTTTACTGTTCTACAATAGTTTAATTCGATTAATTTAGGCAACAACATGGTAGCCACATAGTTTAGGGAATAATTAAAATTAAATGAACACAACCTGAAATAAAGTTGACACAGCTAGGTAGTTAACTGATTAATTACAATTTCATTTGGAGCCAAAATCAAACGTAATATGAGAATGAATGAACAGAAACTAGTAAGTTTACTTTTAAGTGTAATAACAAAGTACTTTTGTGAAATGATTTGTATTATATAGGGATATTCTAATAAGATGATACAGATAATATGTATGTAATGAAATTTCCAGATAAGCAATCAATGAGATACTTGAAGTAGAGGATCATTTTGTTTCATTTGAGTTCAGAATTAGTTAGATGTGTGAGCCAACAACGGTGATATGAATAGAACTTATAGCTTTGACGCTTTATTGTAAATGAATTGTCTATATAGGAGTGTTCAGAGTGTAGCTACTACCTTCTAGTGGTGGTTGGGCTTGCCTATCGTGATGACCCAATCGAGCTATATTGGCTGGAACATATGTTCCTGTAGATTCAATCATGCCAGACAGGTCGATTGGAGCAACTGAAAGCAGCAACTCAAAGTCTGAGGGTGTAGTCGTACTGCTGACCGTAGAGTGGTGTGACAGCATTAAGGTGTTTCCCTCAGGCAACCAGCATCTGTAGCGATACTACCTTCTCACAAGGAAGAACGTGGTCAGAAAAGTCGACCCCGGCTGTGCACGACCGGTTAAAGGCCAACTTCACACATGAATAACTGTCTTTAGTTTTCATATTAAGTACAATATTAATTATCCACCAAATCAGTATCCTGGAGGTATCTAACCTGTAAAATGAGTTTATTTCTGATGAAGTATGAGATTGTTGAGCTACTGAATTACTTCTATCGTAATTTACTTCACAATGTGTGTGTGACTTCAAATAAGGCATCTTTTAACCAGTAATCAGTAAGCAGGTAACTATTATTTACTTAGCTAATCTCATGAAGATTCAAATTCATACTACATACCAAAGTAGTGGATTTCGAATAGGAAAACCATTAGATAATTACTGTATGCTATCACGATTACAAATGAGGAATCGCTGAAGTTACTTTTCAAGTGTTTCATCAACAATATCCATCTTTGAAATTCCAGTTTCATGAATAGTAGTGTATTTGAAACTATGTTAATATTGTCTTTGAAGACTAATCATCATGCCTACTAGTTCATTCAAAGAAACACAATTTGAGCTAATCAGATTTAAGGTGGCCAGTCTTGGACTATGAACCAAAATTTATCCATCCGTATATTTAAACAGTATTTCGGGATTACAGTTGTTACTGGATTGAACGAGATCACAAATGGGAACAGTCGAATGTGTTCGAATACGACATTACAGAACATCTTAGTAAAATCTGAGAATCATACAGTGAATACTGTCAATCAATTGTCTCAAACTTGTCTGCTTCTTTTGTAAATATCAGTCAATGATCTTAGACTTCATTGTTCCTGCATTTCCATATCATTTTATTTTTGTTCCCGTTCTTTCCATCCTCCATCTTCTTGACCCTTTTCTGTCAGACATTGTAATCCTGACTAACATATATACAACACTTATGTCAATATAAGTAGTACACTACGATATCACTTCTTGATGAAAACCCTAACTGTAACTCCCCATTCACTATAATAATACGTTTAGTGAATATACTGTCTAGGACTGATTTCAAACTGTTTACATATACATATATATCTATATTACATAACTAGAAACCAGAAATACAGACACTTTTTCTCCTCAAATATGTTTTACACATAAACAAGAGAAAAATTCACATAGTGACTAATTCAGATTAACAATAAAATGCAACTTACATTATGATAATCTTTTGTAAAAACTGGTGGATTATCATTTAAATCTTGTACAATAACTTTAATCACATAACTGGATGTAAGACTTGGTATCCCATTATCACTGCATATCATCTATTAAATGTATTGAGAGAAAACAAAACCAGAAATAAAACAGAATGAGTGAAAAAAAGAAACTGTGTCTATGAAAGATAAGAAGGGAGAAAAAAGAATACCAAATTGTAAGTGAAACAAAACAACTCCACCTGGAGCCTCTCTTAGGCCACTACCGATGTTAGGTCCGGATAAAAAAAGGAGGGTTGGGTATTGGGTTAGCAATCCCATTCTATAGTAAACTAACTCGCTAAAAAACGCTAACCAGAAAGAGTTAAATTCAATTTTGAAACTTTTTTTTAAAAAAAATAACGTAATGAAGTAAATCTGGGTTACATTTAGTGAATTACTAACACAGACTATTGGTTGGATGGTAATAAGAAATATGAGATAAGTAGTAACCATGGCTAAATGAACAAACCACTTAATTTATTTCATTCATTATTGATCTTTGAAATATGTTCAAATTCACATGATTTCAATATCTTGATCCTTCAGTGTGTTCTAGTTTGAGTTAATGAAATAGTGTCTGGTTATTTATGAATGTTTGACATTATGAATTGATTGGATGTTATTTCATAGGGTTTATTGGTTAAAGTACTTTATGGAAATCTGAAGATTTTGTATTCGATATATGGTGTATTTGTTGATATTTAATTGTTGAGATCATGAGTGAATTGAAGCTAGACCATCGTCGAAAACCTGGAATCACTGGATGGCCTCTTCGTCCTATTGTGTGACTCCCCATCAGCGTGGATCCACGACCTAGGATATATCAGTCTCGTGCGTGAGCACGCGTTAATGTCTTACTTCAACCAATCCACGAAGTTGCACCACTGTTCAGGTTTTCCATGTTGGTCTAGCTTCAGTCGACTCATGAATTCCACAATTAAATTGAATTACAAAAACCTTCTCTGATTATAATTTGTTGATAGACAATACGAAAGAGTCTCATATTATGATGACACAACTGTCTAGTGATTTCCTATGTTCTATGGTTTTCTAACTAAAATAGGCCGATGTTGTAAAACTACACATATTTGCTTACTTAAATTCACTTGGCATTGTTTGTTTGAATCTTCCCATTGATGTTTAGGACTGCAATTGATCAATCTCATATTAGCATATATACATACTATGCGTATTGTCTAGACATAGTCTTGATTCACGAAGATTATATGCAATGATGAATATTGGCTAACAGTGGAATCCAGGACGCGCTTTTCATCCTATTTGGTACTCATCAGCTGGATAATGTACCCACATCTCAGAGTTGATATTCACCTGTGGGACTCGAGCACAGTCTCGTTTCGCTTAAAACAACATTGCATTATCTACTTAGCTATTTAAGAAATTGATCAAACTTTCATAAATAAACAAAACCATGACGTGTAATAGTTTTTTTTTAGAGTTACATTTTACTAGTAATTTACGTTTACATTACCGACATTTTATATGATTACGCAATAATATAAACCACCACCACCAACAACAACAACAACATACATAACAATTCAACTGTATCCAACATAAATTTCTATCCCATATCTAGTATATTCCAGTTTATACATTGTATATATATCATCTCTGTGTCAGTTTTTTTTCGTTTTTTTTGGTTCTACAAATTACTACAATCATATAGAATCAGTTGAATTCATCTTATTGAAGGTAGTTTTTATTTGTCTTCTCTATAAACCAATTTGATTTTTGCATGGACATATCATGATTTTGTTTTTAATGAAAGTGAATTGTAGATTTCCGACAATATTGATTACTTGTATTTCTGTGTGTGTGTGTGTGTGCGTGTGCTGTATGTGTAGGTGAGTGTGTGTGTGTATGTGTGTGTGACAGATCGAGATATAAAAGGAAAACAGAAAAAAATATACATGGCATAGCAACTGATATTAAGGATGAAAGAAAAATTGTGGTACGACAACAACAACAACAAGAACAACAAGAATTTTGACTTAAAATTTATACATGTGGTTTAATTAATTATCAACCAATTTTTTTTTCAATGTTAATCAACGATTCAGTATTTTATGTTTGTCAATTTATGCTACTACTTTGTTTGAAAAAGATATTTCATGTATTTGTAAAAATTGTTACTATGGTTGTAAGAAGGGGCATCGGCTTTGTAATTTCCAAAGAACCTCGGCTTTCATCCTGAGGTATCATCATTCTTCCGTCAACTCGAAGGGCAAAGTTTAAATGGTTTAATTTGTTTAGTGCGGTTGACGTTCTTTTCTTCTTCTACGGGATGAATAACAACTGGAGAGAGAGGTGAAAAGGATTGCTCAGGACAAGGTTGAATGGAGAATGCTGGTGGGATGCCTATTCTCCTTCATGAGGAGTAACCGGCTTAATGTAATGGTCTGAAAAAAATGTGTTTCTTTTATTTATTCTCTTGTTGAACGAATCGTTGTGAAGCATTAAGAATAAAAATTTCATTATTTGTTTAAGCTGGTTATTGAATGTATGAAAGAAGTTATTTTTTATTAGAAAGGGGTTTTGTGGAGATCATGGTAGTTTAATAATTAAATTCATGAGTCAAATAAAGCTAGACCACCATGGAAAACCTGGAAGCACTAGATGACTGTTACGTCTTAGTATGAGACTCCTCAGTAGTGAATTGATTGGAGTTACATATTAACAAAATTGGATGTAGAGAGGTTAAGTTTTCGTACGCGAAACCGAAAATCCTAGGTTCGAGTCCTGCATGCATAATCGTGAATACATACTTCTGAGGAGTCTCATAATAGGACGAAATGGCCACCTAATGCTTTCAATTTTTCCATGATGATCTAGCTTCGACTGACTCATAAATTCAACTATTAAATTATTTTTTATTTATACTCGTGTATTAAACCTTGTTTTCTAGTGTTACTATATCATCATCAGATGTAGGTTGATTAAGAGGATCGGAGATATTTATTGATCGATTGTACAACTCAAAGTTATCTGTGTGCTTTTATCGATTCAGTTTATTCAATATTAATCAATATCATATTCACATATTAAAGAAATAAAGTTCTCATGACTGATTAAAATGAGTAGGAGAATAACTTAGTAACTAGAGAAGGAAACCACGTTCATTCTATATACAAGTGAATTATTTATTCAATGATATATACTTCGTTATTAAACAATTTTGCTGACACACACAAAAAATATTTGTTGCTAAGCCTGTTACTTAGTTGTTTAGTTAGTTAGTTGGTAAACTAAATATTGATAAAACGTGTTCTTTTATTCAGGATCAATTTAATGGAAGCCTGTACATATTGTTGGTTAATAATACTTAATGATTAACTTATCTCTCAATGACTCTCTTTTTCTTAGTTATAATGAGTATATTCGTTAGTTTCAATGATTAGCAGAGGGCAAATAACAATTTTCTAAGTGTTACCATGATGAAAAACTGGTTGTATTGGCTTATTCAAAGTTTTCCTCATAATCAAGTAAGTGGTTTCTATGTTTTAGGTTGTTTTATTTTTCTGAAACACTGATTCTGAACAGAATACTATAGATGAATAAGAGATAGTTATAGTCGCTTAATTTCAAGTAACTGACTACAACTTTATGGATAGAAGTTAAAATAGTGTGCACTTCATTATAGTCAGAAATAGTTTCATTATCCTTTATGTTTTAAAATTATTGCTTACTTACTTACTTACTCCTGTTACTCTTCGTGAAGGAACATAGGCAGCTCACCAGCATTCTCCATACAACTCTGTCCTGGGCAATCCTTTCCAGTTCTTTCCAATTGTTATTCATCCTTTTCATATCTGCTTCTATTATCCGACGTAATGCGTTCTTTGACCTTCTTCTTTTTTTGCTTCCATTCAGGATTCCAAGTTAGGGCTTGCATCGTGATGGAGTTTGACGATTTGCGTAATGTATGTCCTATCCATTTCCATCGTCTTTTACTAATTTCTTCTTCAGCTGGAAGTTGGTTTGTTCTCTCCCACAGAAGGCTATTGCTGATGGTATCCGGCCAATGGATGTTGAGTATCTTGCGTAGACAGTTATTTATAAATACTTGTACTTTCTTCATAATGGTTGTAGTAGTTCTCGAAAATTCAGTTCCGTACAGTAGAACTGCCATGACGTTTGTATTGAAGATTCTGACTTCGATATTTGTTGAAAGCTGTTTTGAGTTCCATATGTTCTTCAATTGTAGGAATGCGACGCTTGCTTTGCCAATCCTCGCCTTTACGTCTGCATCTGAACCTCCTTGTTCATTGATGATGCTTCCCAGGTATGTGAAGGATTCTACATCTTCCAGAGTTTCAGCAACAACAACACTTCCCGTTATTCGCTAATTTACTTGGTAATTGCTATACACTGTAGTCTGATTTTCATTAAAGGTTTCCATTTTAAGATATAACTTAAATCAGATTTACTTTTTCCATTTCATATCAAGTTATACCACAATAAACATATCTATGACAAATAGTTATGGATAGCTTGAGCCTATTTATCTTGATTGTGTTTAATTTATAAACTTTATCTTTAAGTGTATTTTAAATCAAAGTCCTACTCTGGGCTTTGTCTCGTCTGTTTACAATCAATCCGTATCCTATTCATCAAAAAGTTCAGAGGAAAACCTATCCGAGTATACCTACAATTAATTATGTAAATTATCAACTTCTAATGACTACAAAGGTCCTAAAAGCCAATTTCTGTAAGGCGAACTCTTTGATCGGTAAAAGACAAATAATTACCCTATGTTACAAGTAACATAGAACTCCATCTAGAGCCTAGTCTGGATAGGACACACATTGAGGAAAGTATCCAACTGTATCACAAGGCAAACCCTGACTGAGAATCCTCAGGGCCAAAGGAGGTGAAGAGGAAGACCAAGGAACACATTACGCTGAAAAATGGAGACAAACATGAGAAGAATGAACAAGAATTGGATAGAACTAGAAAGGAAGGCTCAGGACAGAATGGGTTGAAGAATGCTAGTTAGCGGCCTATCCTCTATTGGGGGTAACAGGCGTAAGTAAGTAAGTAAGTAAGTAAGTACAAGTAGCGTAGGTTAGCCAGTGACCAGCTAATCAGTACATCGTTTTTAAGCACAACAACTTCATAAATATATAGATTAAGGATTGTTGATCAAACACTTATCACACTAGTTTGGTAGATTAACATTGCGAATATCAATTAAAGCATAATTTATCACGGTACTGTTGATCCAAATTTCAGTTAGATAAAACATTCAATCTCAGTTACACAAAAAGAACACATTACTCCACAACATTATTCGATGTCTTTCTAATAAGCGATAAAAAAAGAAATTTGATGAAATCCCAAGCTAACATTCCAATTAACGAAGTTGGCGGGACTGTAATTTATGGACAAACCAATCAGGTATAAAATAACAGGTCTGGGATTTCAGCGCGAAATTCACTCATTTATTTGGCTAAACAGAGTTTTGACATTATAAATGGTGTCATTTCATAATGAAAACCCTAAATCTAATTCCTAATCTTCACCATCAGTTGCAAATCATAATTCTAATTCCTCACATTGGCTTGTAACCTCCATTTGATCCTAGTTATTACGTGAACACTCTTAAGGTCATTTTAGCGTCACTTACAAATCATACATAAATTATAGTCTCACCTACAGAATTATTTCAGTGCAAACAAGTACAACAACATAAATAAGTTTAATAGTTGAGATCATGAGTTATTTGAAGCTAAACCACCACCTCAGAAAACTTGGAAGCACTAGGCAGCTATTTCGTCTTAGTATGCCCCCCAAATGCCCTGGTATGGCCGAGAATGGGGTGGACCCGCCCTCCCTCTCGAAATGCTCTCACATGACCACGCGTATACAGCCTCTGCCAGGGAAGTCCTACTCATCGCCTTCTTGCACCAGGGGTGTTGTTTACGAAATTGAGAGGACGAAAGGCGAATGTCCGGCGCTCTAACCGGATCCCAAACCATTGGTGCATATGGGCTCCAGTATCTTGAAGGAACAAACGGCGTATGAACCAACGGTCGGTCACCGGCTGCCATGGGACAGTATATCCTCACGATGCTCCACTGCTTTGTGGATCAGACCTTTAGGTCAAAGGCTTGGGGTATGGTCCCCTAAGGAAACCACCTGCTTCGGTCTGGGCACTCGGGCATTATCACAGCCCACACAAACAGAATGAAATGACAATACTTACGGAAAATACTATACTTGCTTCGGTTAACAGTCAAACGATTCACGTTATTATTATTATTATTTACTACGTCATTTACTCACTCTCTTTTATTCCCACTTTATGTATCCTTATTTTCCGACTTATACAGCAGCTCGTCTATGGTGGAAACTCGGTTCTATCTAAACGTTCTCGAGTCATTGCCTGGTTGAAAATTGTATGCTGCCGCCAAATACGTTTTATTATTCTACAGTGTGGCGCATATATATTTGATGCCCTCTTGTACCAATATTTATGTGTTCAAATATATAAATAAATAAATAAAATGGCCCTCCTCAGTAGTGCGCATCCACGATTCCGCTTCACAAGATTCGAACCCAAGACCTATCGGTCTCGCATGTAAGCGTTTCACATCTAATATAAATAACCTTGAAAACCACTATTTAAAACAAATAAACAACAACAACAACAACATTTAACTTACCTTTACTGATTCTGTTTTACTAAATTCATAATCAAATCCATAAATTGTATTTAATTCATAATTGAAATTAGATATTGGATTTAATTGAAACATTCCAACAATTGAACTATGACTTATAGTACCAGTAGTACTACTACGAATAGTACTAGTACTAGGAGTTGGAATGAATGACAAATAATGACTTTGTTCATTCAATGTATATTGTGTTGGATAATGTAACTTGGATCTAAATGCTTTATCATTATCCTTATCTATTGTATTTGATTCTAAATGACATTGAAATGTACCACCAGGACCAGTATCTGGATCATTTACAACTACAAAAGCTAATAATTGTATCATAGTTGGTAATAAATTATCATGAGTAGTATATTCATTTTCTAATTTATAATTCATTATATTATGTCCAGGAGTTTCATTGATATACACTTGTAATATATTATTCTTATATTGATTATTATGATTATCACTAATCGATTGACTTGATGAAATACGATTTACTGATTCTACTGTAATCTGTGGTGCAATATCATTAATATCTGTGATATAAACACTTATGATTGCTTCATCAAATCCTGGATGATTCGATTGATCACGAGCTATGACACGTAGAAGATGATGTTTTGATATTTCATAATCTAAATGTCCATTTATGATTAACCAACCAGTTTTAGAATCAATTTCAAATAAGCTTTTCTTCATTTCATTACTATTATTAGTAGTATGAGTATTGTTATGTAATTGACGTTGATTGGAATGATCATTACTATTCGATAGCGATGATGATGGTGGCTTAATGTTGACATCATTGTTTATTAAACTATAAATAATTTGACCAGATTTTCCATCATCTGGATCATCAGCAATTAATTGTATAAGATGTAAACCTTCAGGTGAATTTTCTGGTACACTAATCATTAAACTTTTATTACGAAATATAGGATGATTATCATTTTCATCAGTGACAATGATCTAAAATTAGGATGTAAATATCTGAGTGACATTACATTATTAAATAGATGAAATCATGCATTCATAATTGCCTAGTATTGAGTTTTACCATTCGATTCATGTATAAACTATACAACTTATGAGATGTCGTTTTTATTTATTTATTCATACACATAAACATTGATACAAGGAGGTACTAAATAGAGGGATGGGATACTGCCCAGGTGCGCAAACCGTATTAAGTGGTTTCCTTAGGGGACCACACCCGAAGCCTTCGACATAAAGGTCTGATCCACAAGTTAGTGGAGCAACGTCAGAAGATGCAGTTTCATGGTAGTCGTTAACCAATAATTGCTTCATATGCCATTTGTTCTTTCAGGATTCCGGAGCCTATGTGCATCATTAGTTTAGAATCAAGGTTTTCCAACTCCCCTAGGTGGATCCTCTATATCCACCAACTTGGTTAAACGCCGGAAATTCGCTTTTCCTTCTCTTGATTTCTTAAATAACACCCTCTCCACGAAGAAGTTGTGATTAAGACTTCATTGATAGTACTTGTATGCATGTGGCCATGTGAGATCGTTTCGAGAAGGAGAGCTGACACTACTAACTCTCGGCCGTATCATATGTCACTTGACCTTGAGATAGCATGTGAACACAAGTAGGTGTTATGTTTATACTTGATTAATCTATCAGCTAGTTTTGTAATAGAATTTCGCTAAAAGTTGGAGACCATTAGTATAATAATTAGTAAAGATTATGAAGTTTTTATAAACATTTTAAGGGATCCAGATGTAAAATCTTGAAAATAACTAAGTAATGTTGTTGACAATCTCTTCCAATCTTATATCTCCTTGTAAAATGAGATCGCAAGTACATTCATAGAACAATACAAAATGTTTAGAAGAATGTATTTATCAGAAGGGGTTTTGTGGATTCTGATAATAATCATCTACTCACTAGTGACTGACTTCAAGATGCGTTTCCTGGAGTTCTAGTAAGAAGCTGTGACCAGTGGAGTTCAACCAGGTCTGTTGTGAGAGTGTATTTAGTAAATATTCAGTTAAAACGTTTCATGAGCTAATCAACCCAAAAATCTTTACTCCTTAACAAGTCAGTTATTTACAATTTTAAGGAGGTTACATTTAAATCCAATTGGTGTTGTTTTACTTGTATCTCTAGATTGTTATTTAGGGTTGCAACTGATCAATCTGTTGTTAGCACATGTGCACCCTGTGTGGATTGAATTGATATAGCTTTAAGTCACAAACTATTTAAGCAAAGATAAATAGTAGCTAGCAGTGAAATCCAGGATATGCGTTTCGACCTATCTTGGACTCGTCAGCTTCATATATCTGCCTCCCACAGTTGATGTTCACTCCGTGTCTCGAACCCAGTACCATTCGCTTTAACACACCATCACGTTATCCACTTAGCTACTGAGAATTGATAGCCACTTGCCTGTGCGATGGGTCGCGGAGTGAACATTAACTCTGGGATACAGGTACAGTCAGCTGACGAGTCCCAAATAGGACGAAACGCGCATCAAACTCGATTCCACTGCTTGCCACTATCCATCTTTGCATAAATTTTACAACTCAGTTTCCATAGAACTGATACAATAGACGTATAAACCGATATCAAGGATTACATGAAATATAACAAGAACTTGATGATGATCACTTTTTTGTATAAATAAGAACTTACCATCAAACTCATTTCACCGGTAAATGCTGGTGATCCATTATCTTCAGCATTTAATATAAATTGATAGCTACGTTTAGTTTCCCAATCTAATGGTTTCATAACTTTTAAATATAATTGTTCTGGTCGATTTTGATATGGTAATAACTGATTTATTGGTGATAATGTATTCGATTGATGATAAGTAAATGGATGTTCCATTTGTCTATTATAAGATAAACTATTATAATTTGAATAGATTAGTTGATTATTATCATTATTATTAGAGGTAGATGGAACTAATGAAGGTAGATTATTGATTAATTCATTTGATAATTGAATCAATTCAAATGTATCATCATTTTGTGTAAGTAGTTGATAACTAAAACAAAGAAAAAGGGAAATGGGTACAACATAACTATGGTTTTCATCATTGTGCTTATGATGTTGTTTAGAAGAATGATGAATACTCCACGATCAAACTATTAAGCTCAGAGAACAAAACTCCATCATAATAGTTGTCATATTCTTCAATTATATTATTCAGTTATAGGTACATATACTTTCAATAAGCTTTGTTTTACACTCGGTCATGGAAGAGAGAAGACTCAGTCAGTCAATCAGTCAGTTACAGTGTAGGACCAGGCACATATATGCATTGGTCCAAGTCGCCATACATCATTAGCTCAGCAAGTTGAACACCGGATTCATAGGAGTGGTTAAATCAATGGTGGTAATATATAAAAGAAAGCTTACATACAAGGATATAATACAGGAAGAAGAACTAGTTGGTAGAAAGAAAAATATAAAGTAATTTTAATCTCACGGTTTAAGTGAAGATAAAGATTGTACACACCTACATCATTGTGATCGATTATGAGTCATATCATACAGACTCTCCAAACATTGGTTGCGATAGTCACGCGGACCCCAATCAAGTAGTCTACAACTACCAACACGACTAAGACTAGAACATAGTGAGTTTGTGGACTGATGCCATATTTCAGTTTGGCCACCCATAAGTTCTTTCTAACCGTCTCCAACACTAATCAGCATTGTGCGTCGTGGTAATGGGTGTTCAGGCATACGTAACACGTGGCCCAATCATCTCAGTCGATGAAGATTTACAACTTCATCAATTGATTTATTAGCATCGCCTAATACCCTGCATCTAAACTCTTTATTGCTTACCCGATGATACCAGCAGACGTGAGCAATATTTCTAAGGCATCTTTGATCAAATCTTGGGAAAGGCGAGATTGTGGGTTCTCACTGCTGAAGAATCCCACACTAGGACGAAACGGCCGTCCAGTACTTCCAGGTTTTTCATGGTGGTCTAGCTTCAACTGACTCATGATTTCAACTACTGACATTGTTAGAATTGGATGGCATAGTTATTAAACTTTCATATCCCTTTTTCAACATATCATCAACATGTAAAATAAAAGAGAAGAAAATAACACCACAGTGATGCAACACTCACTCACTGAGTAAATAGGAGTGTAGCTAAATTTACTGAATACACTAGATTTGATAAACACTGAATAGGTTGAGGACAACCTCTGAAGTTGTCAACTTAAAAATCTATTCAAATATATCTATTCATGTATGAACGTTTAAATTCTTTAAGTAGTAGTATATAACTGTAGTCAGTAGTATATAACTGTAAAGCGATAAAAACGAGTGGTGTTAGAAGTACACATAAAGTTAAAGAAATTGGATGTTGCATTAGATAGAATTATTTTCAAGATATTGTTATAGAGCTACGTCTGCGTAATCACCTGGTAACCAGTCTGTGTACATTACACATCAGTATCGTACTAGTGCACTGCATATATGCATAATATATATATGTAAGTAGTATATTAGGGTTTCCTTGAAAAATACTATCCGTTATATCTCATCACATAGTTAGTAGTAATATCTATGCCATTGTCTACTTACTTACTTACTTACGCCTGTTACTCCTCGTGAAGGAGCATAGGCCGCTCACCAGCATTCTCCATCCAACCCTGTCCTGGGCAATCCTTTCTAGCTCCGTCCAGTTGTAATTCATCCTTTTCATATCTGCTTCTATTATCCGACGTAATGTGTTCTTTGGCCTTCCTCTTTTTCGCTTCCCTTCAGGATTCCAAGTTAGGGCTTGCCTCGTGCCCACCATCAATTCCTAGATAATTCCCCCCCTCTTGTTCCATTTCAACTTGTTTTGTTGTCTTGTTTAATTCACAAAAGTACTGTCCTCTTTGTCCAAAAAGGTGTCTTTTTTTCGTAAAACTTAATTACTTTGTATTTGTCAATGTGTACGTGATGCTATGGTTATCCTTGTGTATGTGTGTGTGTGTGCTTACATTAATGGTTTTATATGATTAAGAAGTTGTTCTTCACTTACAGTTATGACTTTATTCAATAAATATCCTTTTCTTTGTTGGCTCACTCTCTCACTCTCACTCCCACTCTCTCTCTCTCTCTCGCTAGCTCGCTTGCTCCCTCTCTGTATCGATGTAAGTCACGAAAACATGACATTTTATAACTGTTTAAGTAATACAATTTTGTTGTTTCTATCTCTTACAGATAATATTAGTTGTATTATCACAACTGGTCATACCCTCGCGCGCGCGCGCGCACACACACACACATAAAAACTGAACACGTTTAAATGTAAAGTTTACTTTTAACAAAACAAATTGTTTTTCTATCGGAAAAATTAAGAAACAAAGTGAAAGAACACCATCACAATTTATAAGAGTCAAGTAATTAGTTAATTGTAAAGAGAAGTTTAAATAAACACCATATCGACAAAATAAAGTTTCTTATGAATGGCATTCATTTTTTTTATTGAGATCATGAACTGATTGATGTTAGACCACTTTTGGAAACCTGAAAGCACTGGACGGCCGTTTCGTCCTAGTGTGGGATTCTTTAGCAGTGCGCCTCCACGATCCCGCTCGGGGGATTCGAACATAGGGCCTTCGGTCTCGCGCGCGAACGCTTTACCTACTAGACCACTCAGCCAGTATCTAATGGTGATAGTGTCTAACATCAACCAATCCATGAAATTGCGCGACCATCTTCCATTGTACTGAGGTACATACCTGTCTCTACCCGACATAGATTAGCTCCACTGGTCACGGCTTCTCACTTTCGGATTGGGCACCTAGGCAGTATCCAAACACTCACATAAATCCAATGATTTATATGGTGCATATCTATTCGGTGCCTCCTTATATCAATGTCCAGTGCTTCCAGGGTTCCAAAGGTGGCCTAACATCAATCGGTTCATGATCTTGATAAAAAAACTTAATAATCTCCACAACCCCCATGATGGTATTCATTATTTCTTTGATAAGGATAATAAAAACACTATCTCATTGGTTGAGATCATGAGTCGATTGAAGCTAGATCATCAGAAATAACTGGACGACCATTTTATCTAAATATGGAACTCCTTAGCAGTGCACATCTGTAATCCTGCCTCACGAGATTGAAACCTAGTACCTATCAGTCTCACGTATGAGTGCTTAACCATTAGATCACTAAGCCAGCCGGCAGTCAACGACCATCCACTGCTTCCAAGTTTTCTATGGTGGTCTAACTTCAATTAACTCATGATGATCTCGACCATTGAAATCACTATATAATATCCACAAAAACACTATTATTGCTTATGATAGAGTTTTATTCTCTGTACTGGATAATATTGTCATGAAGCTCTTATTAATATTCTGAACGATATTATCAACACAAACTTCAAGTAGAAGTGAAGTGTTCGAATTTCATCACATATAGAGGTCTACAGGAGAATCTATAAGCCAGATGTGGAGAAATTCGAACACTTCATACTATTATTACTATACAATGAAAATTATAGATCACGAATAGTCTTATCTGTAGTTGAGACCGTCAAAAGCAGATAGTTTTCAGTTAATATCAAAAGGAGAATTTTGTGGAGATTGTAGTAATTCAATAGATGAATTAATTGAAGCTAAACCATCACGAAAAACTTGGAAGCACTGGACGGCCATTCCTCCTTGAAGTTATGAGTCAGAATTGTAATCAGTCGGTTTCTATTAGATTATGTACACCCTAAAAGGATTACTTCCGTTGATCCTTAATGTCAGCAATGTATATTCTAGATCTCTTAGCAGTGTGCTCCTCGGAGGATTAAACCTAAAACTTCTGGTTTTATGACGAGCGTTTAACTTCCAGACTAATAAATTGGCATCTAATATTTTACATACCTAGCTTCAATCGATTTGTGGTATTACACAACCATCATTAATTGTCCTAACTGAGTAACGTATAATATTGAGCATGGGTGAGCCTCACTAATCACAGATTATCACTGAAACTCCTATTTTAAGTCTGTTACTAATGAGAAGACAAGTATCATTAGTAAAGGAGGTTGTGTTACAGATTGTTGTATTTCAATCGTTTACACCACGTACTGATCCAACATAATTAATTACATGTCAAGATACAATGTGCTTACCGAAAGACTTAGAGATTCTAAGTTCTATCTCATTTGAATTATTGAATGTTGGAAACAGTATAGTTCACAATATAAACCAGTCAGTTAAAATCAGTTTAGAGCTGGGTATAAATGGGATGAAGTTTTATTCATTATTTGTATTGGTTGTTTGAATCTTTCCATTAATTTTAGGGACTACATATTATCAGTCTCTTATTAGCATGATAGCAACCTGTGCAGATTGAGTCCCGAAATAAACATCAACTCTGGGACTCAGATAAATTTAGTTGGCGAGTCCTATATAAGAAGAAACGCATTTCCTGAATTACATTGCCAGTCACTAGCCCTCTCTACCTATAAGGAAACAACTGTTTGAAGCAAGTCATACATGAATAGATCTTTGTGTATTAGGCCAGAATTTTAAGCGTAATACAATTGTCAACAAAATGACTGAGGTAAAGTAAGTTATCATCTTACTAAAGTCAACTTTTCCTAACACTCTCCTTTAGTTTGAAGGAAAAAAGACCCTTAGTATAATCCCATCTAAAAACAATCAGTAGTACAATATACATTTCTACTTTTAATCATTCCTTCTTTCAATCAACTTGTCTAGTAATGATAAGATCTAAATGGATGTATAGACTACTATAATAGACAAAGTTAGTTTCATTTTAATTAAATTAACATGATGACTTTAACACCCCAGAATAGGTGTGTTTCAATGGTTAGTTTTACACTTTACTAACTTTTTATTCCATTGAATATAATTCAGTTTAATTGAATTAAATTTAAAACTAAATTAATCTGACAAATAAACATGAATGAAACAAATAATATGTGCAAAATAAAGTGGAAAAAAGGTACTCCTGCTCATCATCATCATCATGCCTCTAAATACCCTGGTACAGCAGAGA